AAATAAGCACATGGTAGTCTTAAGAATTTTTTAACCACATTTACTAATTTGTATTTATTGAATGCCTAGAAAAAAACTTTCTTGCTATTAAAAGTAACAGAGTAACCATGCTAATTTTTGATATTTTAATAATTTTAACTTTTTTATATTTATTAATAATAAGGAAATTTTAATATTTGATCTTTATCTCTTTTCCATACCTTTTACCATGTAAAAGTGCTGTTTTATGTTCCTCACAAGAATTATAACGTACTCTTTAATTTTTCTTTGTGATTCGTATTTTTTAAAATATTATAATTTATGAAAATAATAAATTTTAATCCCTGTAAATTATAAGTTCTATAGTAAAAAACATTTGTATTTGTTTTATTAAGTCAATAGCTTAACTAAAATTAGTAAGAATTTTAAGATAAACGGATCAGGTTAGCAAGACATTTACGAAAACTTCTGAACATCAAACCCTATAAAACTAATGTGTGGTTAAAACCTTCAGAAACATCTGTTCTCATACTTCCAATAAATGTCAATATTCATGGCTCCTCTTCTAAAACTCTAATATAATTTCATTTCTGTGTAACATTTTTCATGAAGGCCAAACATGGTGATCCATGTATGTGATGAAGCCAAAAACTTGAAAGAAGATTTTATTTGCCCACGAGATCTTTTGATATCAGAAATGAAGTACTTTGCTGAATATTTATCTATGGATGCCCAGCGCTGGGAAGAGGTGGACATTTCAGTTCATTGTGACGTTCACATTTTCAACTGGTTGATAAAATATGTTAAAAGGAACACTAAGGAGAATAAAGATTGTGAGATGCCCACTTTAGGTAAAAGACAATCTATTGATTATTTTGTAGTGAAATTTTTGTGTCACCTGGTAGTTGCTTCAGGCCAAACATGAAATGTGGAAAATTGTTCAAACATTAGTGTTTATGCTCAGATTAGTAATTACTTTTCAGGAGACTGCTACCTCATCCTTTTTTAGTAAATTATAATGAATTTATGGCAGATGGACAGGTCTCTAGATCAGCCATTTTCACTGAATGGTTCATTGGCCACTGGAGTCCTGAAGATCCCTTGAGAGGATCCACAAGGTCAGGAGAATCTGCTTAATAATGCCAGGATGTTGTTTGTCTTTCTCTCTGTGTTGACCTTTGTTCAGATGGAACAGAAGTAATGGAGGGTAAAACCACTGGCACTTTAGCAAACATCGAGGAAGGAACATCAAACTATAGTGGTGGTCACTGTGTTATTCAGCACCATGTGCTCATTTGTGGTAAAAAAAGGGAAAAAAGAAAAGGAAAAAAAGATCAAGTTTCACTTACAAATGTCCTTGATGAAGCAGTAAAAGTTACTACTTTTATTAAATCTTGATTGTTGAGTATACATCTTTTTGATATTCTGTGTGGTAACACATGAAGTACAGTCCTGCTGCACACCAGAGTATGATGATTGAAGGAAAAGCGCTTATAAAGTTAGTGCTTGAATTGCAAGCTAAACTAGCTGATTTTTTAATGAAACCATTTTTACTTGGAAGAATGGCTAGCAGACAAATTATGGTTATTCAGACTTAGGCATTTGGCAGGTATTTTCTTGAAAATGAATTAAGTGAGCCAGTTAGTTAAAGGGAAACAACTGACAATATTTGTTGCCAATGATAAAATTCAAGCTTTCAAGTGAGAAAGTTTGGAAAACTTGTGTTTACTTCCATGTACTTGCCAGTCCCTCTAAAGACTTTTCTTATGAGACTGGTGATCATATTAACAAATGTAATATTTTTTAATATTATAATAAAATGTTTCAGCATTTGGAAGATCTGCATAACTCAGTGAGCCTATACTTTCCAAATGACCAATGCATGATGTTAAAAAAAAAGTATGCATGGGTTAAAGATCCACTTAAAGTGCAAGATAAATCAGTGGATTTTGAGATAGCAGAGTGGAAACAGTTCACTGATATGATTTCTGATTCCCATTGTAACTAACCTTTGAGAAAGACTACCCACAAATTCAGTGTAGAAAGATGAGAATCCATTTGTCTTCTATTAAGTCAGACAATGAAGAAATTTATTTAAAATGTCAGCGTTATTCTCACTAAATTTTTTTCATTTTGGAAAATATAGTTATTTTTCATTAAAATGTGTTAGTGTGTAATCAGTTTATTATTTTTAAATGACTTAGTAAATATTTTTTAAATATTTTGTTTTAATTTCTAATATGGTTAATATAGATGTAACCCACATAAACAAAAACTCTTTAGGAGTCTCGATTTAAAGATTTTTGTAAAAGGGTCTTGGGAGCAAAAGTTTGAGAACCAATGTTCTAGACAATAGGAAGAATAATTACTAAGTAATCTTTTTTGGGTGTTGACTTACATAGGCAATCGCACTGGTGGTTTAATAAAGTCTTTCAGTGCACTAGAATTGCTATTTACAGTAGTTACCGAAGTATTTTTAAACTCTTACTAGTAAATCAGTCTGTACTGATAGTGTAAAAGTTTTATGAGGATGTTCATAATTCAATACATTTTTGTGACCAAAGTAATAGAAAAGGTTTCTAGTGGTCCTTAAGTGAAAATTACAAAACTGCTAAAACAAAATTTTCAGCCAACCAAAGCTCAGAGATTCCAGACCATCCAGATATATCAAAATATGTAGAGAGGAAAAAGACTACTGTTTGATCCATCCTGTTCATGAAATAGTAAAGTGAAAGAAGTAGAGCAAAACTAGTTGCTCTGTACTCTTGGACCTTAAATCAGTGGCTACAAATGTAGGTTTTATAAAAGCAGTTTTTATTCTAAGAAAACTACCAGAATGGTTAATTTAAATCAGTAGTAATCCAGACCTTGGGTCTTAACTAGAATGAGTTATATTACACTTTCCTGAGGAACTTTTTCACCAGCTCTTTCCTCTCTCTACCATTTCTTTTTGAGAACCTTTAATCTAGAATTGTGATTTAAGGAAAGGTTGAGATTACTTATTTAAAGGACTTAATAGTCCTTTATTTAGGAGAATTGTCTTAATATTATCATGATAAAAATCACAATTTCTTCTTTTTCTTAAATATACTTCATGAGAGATGACTTAGGTTTTTTTTAATTTTTTTTTTTTACTTACTTTATTTTACTTTATTTTGGCAGAGGAGGGAGGTAATTAGATTTATTATTTAGTTTAGAAGATGGACTGGGGATTGAACCCAGGACCTCATGTATGCTAAGAATGCGCTCTACCACTTGAGCTATACCCTCCCCTGACTTAGGTTTACTGAAAGGATAGTGTCAGCCGGCATCCCCCTTTCCCTGGTTGTGCCTCTCAAGGCTCATTCAGTCTGCCTTTAGGAAGTAACTGCATTTCTTCAATAGTAAAGTTTATATTATCTTTCATAATCTTATAAATTAAGTTTTTGTTCATAACAAGCATTTGAACCACTTTTGAAATAACTTTACTAATAATAAGCTGTCTAATCATTTAAAAAATTTTCTCACTGTGATTTTTGTGTGATGAGTTATAGTCTCCATTTTAATTACCTTTTTCTCTGGTTCAGTTGAGGAGGAGTTCGCATATGTCATGTCTTTAGTTAGAGTCTTTTTACTTGATGTGAATCTAATTCCAGGGCAAGTTTATTGTACATTTTCTCTATACCCTAAGTTTTAACATTGCATTTTCTTTCTCTCATGTATATAAGCCATAGTGAGATTTTATTAAATTGTTCTTATTAAAGTAACGTCCTCTTTTAGGGTGAGAAGGAGCCTGTTCTAAGGAGATTGAGATACAAATCAAAAGGAGACTTTAATTTTTTTCTTTTTTTTAGAGCCAGGAAATGTCATTTCAATTCTTATTTCTTCAGAGTTTTTAAAAATGGATTCATTGGTAAGTATTAATCAAAGACCAAAGCTCTTCTATTTACCCATGCTTAATGTAACTTGATTTTTCCTTCAAGTGTCTAGAAAACTCTAAGACATCTTACCACTGAAGTGGTTGTTAATTCAAGAATGTGATTCCATTAGAGTAAACTGCTAATATTTGGAGGTACTTTGTTGGGAAGAGGTTAAAGCTACGTACCATTTGTATATGATGCCCATAAAGCAAGACAGTTATCCTCAAGGAAACAGTTAGCTGTTGCAGTACATGATTCTAAACAGAATTAACTTTACTCCAAAAAGAATTTGCTCTTAAACCAAATGAAATGAAAGTTAATTGGAATGTATTTGGTTTACTATTTAAATAATTAGTTTAAGCATGTTTTACTTATTTGTGTCTTTCATTTATGGTTCAGCAAATGAAGAACAAATACCCAACTACTAAACAATGTAATTTTGTATGTGTAACCCACACACTCATCTCTGTTGTTTAAGAGTAGCTGATGAAGTATAAAAGCACAATATATACACATACATATCAAGCTCTAACGTTAAATATATTTTTCTTCTTTTTCCTCTTATTTAATAAGTTTCTTTACCATTCACATGTTTTTGTATATTTTTGTGGTTTTTACTTTAAATAAATATATGCTTTTAGCCTCTGGTAAAAACTACAGAGTGAAATACTCCTTTGCTGTGTTAACAGATGTGAAGTTTATTTGTTTGAGGTTTTAAAAGTTCCCTGTATTCTTTCTACTCCTTTAGTCCCTCCCCTTGTAGTTGCTAGTATTAATTGCTTTAGAGAAGGGTTACAGAAAAAAGCAGAGACTAAAAGAGTCTGAGTTCTGGTTTTTAAAATCTAAGCCATAAAGGATGATTTTTATGCCATAGCAAAATATTCAGAAGAATATGTAATTAGCCAGTACTGTTTTTCCCCAAAACCCAAATCTACCTCAAAAAGTAAATGTATCTCACAGTGGAGAATGGGAAAGAAAGTCAGAGAGCACGCATAACACAACTGACAAAACCCTGAAGTGACTGAAACTGTGTTTCTACCAGAGATACGGAGACTTAAAATTGTCACTAAGTTTAGTTAATAGGAAGTCACATATCTTATACCCTTGAGTTTGTAGACTAAGATATATACATGCCACAGTCATGAAAGATGTTCGTTGCATTATTGTTTGAAATATTCTGAGAAGGCTGAAAATTATTTTTCCATCTATGTATATATATTTGTACAAATTTGGACTGCTGGACCACTTTGGAGCAGTATAGGTTAACCCCAAGAGACAAAACTCAGTTATTGACTAGCAATGCATGGATTAATGAATCTTATCTTTGAAAAGTATTGATATGACATTATCCTTTATGCTACTATCTTCAACATTCATTTTCCATTCTGTGTCTGTTTTTCTCAGGTTGAACAGTGTATTCAGTATTGCCACAAAAATATGAATGCCATAGTAGCTACCCCATGCAACATGAACTGTATTAATGCAAATCTTCTTACACGTATAGCTGATCTGTTCACACACAATGAAGTTGACGACTTAAAGGACAAGAAAGATAAGTTTAGGAGGTAATTTTTAAAATTTAGTTTTAAAAGTCATCTTCCTGTTAGAGGAAATACATTGTTTCTATTTCTTTTTAGTAAAAATTCTGTTTTTAGAATATATTTAGAAATACATTTCCATTTTATTTTAAATGAAGTAAAATATATTGTGAGTCAGTGGCTCAAGATAAAAATTAGTAATTACATTAGTTGTTTTGTGTAAGGCATATATGAGCAGATTGTGGTGGTGAATTATGTTAAAAATTATAAAGAAAGACCTTAGTATAAAAGGGAAGAGTTGTATGGGATAAGGTCAACAGTTGTCATATCACTTATGGGCTCTTTAGGTCATAGCAAGGTGTGTACACTTTGTTCTGTGTGGAGAAGAGACTAGAAGGATATAAGAAGCAAGACTTATTTGGAGTCTAGTACAGTGATCTGGTGAGAGAGGAAAGGCTTTGAACTAGAGTGGAAGCAGTGGAGCTGAATTCCTTGTATTCGTGCAAGTGGGTGGATTCAGCATATGTTTTTAGGAAAATCTGACAGATTTTCAAATGGAATCATGTGGGAAGAGAAAGTATATACTAGGATTATTACTAGATTTTAAAGTTAAGTAAATGGTAGTGTCATTAATAGAGAGGGAAATGATTGGAATGAAGGGAATCAAGAGATGGGTTTGGGTCTTGTAAAGATTATTTAATATATTTAATACACTTTTTGGACATCCAGGTGGGATGGCAGGTAGGTAGCTGGATATATAAGTCTAAAGTTTAGGTCAGAGGTCAGGGCTTAAAATAGAAATATAAGAGTAAATGGGGTTTGAAACCATGGAACTGGATGAGATTTCCTGGCAAAACCATACTTTCAAAAGGGAATTGCAGAAGCACCTTTAGTATAAATCAGGTGACTATATTTGTGATGTCTGTTTCTGAATTCTCCATTTTGTTCTGTTGATTTCTTTGCCTATACTTTATCAGTAGCACACTGTCCTAATTACAGTATCTTTCTAATATTTTTTGGTATCCAGTAATCTAAATTTTGCAGCTTTACCTTTCTTCAAGATTGCTGTCTTGGTCATTTTAGGTTCTTTGCATTTTCATATAAATTTTATAATCAGCCTGCCCATTTTCTTTCGCTCTCATATGCATGCATGCACTCACACAGACACACACGCACACACCCCTGCAGATTTGAGGGTTAATATTCAACCTGTAAATCTGGGAAGAGACATCTCAATAATATTGAGTCTTTCAGTTCATGAACATGGTTTTCACCCTCCATTTATTTTAGCAATGTTTTATAGTTTTTTTAATGTAAAGATATTTTTCCTTTATTAAGTTTGTTCACAGGCTTCTAAATTTTTTTGGTGCTATTGTAAATACTGTTTTTATTTTATTTTCTAATTGTTAGCAGAAGAGTATTAATGACGACTATCCAACATTTAGAGGTTCAGTAGAGGAGTAGCTGGTGAGGGGCCTGAGAAGAAGAAGCCAGTGGATCAAAGGGAAGGCAGAAGGAAAGAGGGCTTCAGAGAGGACGAAGTGACTAATGGTCACATGTATGGAATGCTGCTACCATGTAAGATGAAGACAGAAATGTGGCCAGTTTAGACAACTTTTTTCCAGATATTTTGCTCTGAATGCAGAAAAATTTAGCAGTAGCCATTAGGGATAGGTAGGCTCAAGAAAGGATTTTTGTTTTTTTTAAAGAAGGAAGGTGTTGGATTATGCTTATATGCTAATCAGGATGATTTATTAAAGTGGAAGAAATTGGTCATACAGGAGAATTATCCAAGAGTTTAGTCCTGAAGGGGAATGAGACAGAGGGGAATTATCCAAGAGCTTAATTCTTGTAAATGGGATGGGATCCTAAATCCAGATTTGGCCTCAGTAGGAGACATTACTTGACAAAAAGTGGAGACAGTCAGGATAAACATTTGGAATTAATGTCATACTTAGAATTCTGACAAAGTTCATGCACAACATAATTATGTTATGCATAATAATAAAGTATTAACATTTATTTAATGTTTAATGCTGTGTCTTGCACTCTTTAACAAATACTGTCTCATTTTACCCTCATAAAACCTTATGTATTTGAAATTATTAACCCCATTTTATAGATGAGAAAATAAGATTCACAGAGATCAAGTTGCCAAAGATCACATAACAAGTTATTTTTAGACCCAGGATTGTTAAATTTCCAAAATTCTCAATCTTGAATATTCCTGTAACAAAGGACTGAAAGACAGGTAGATATCCTGTCTCATTTTTCTTATGAAAATGGATTCTTGATCAAGCAGTTCTCATTAGTAGATTTATTTACTTAGAATACTGAAAGTATATTATAACTTCCCAAAGAGGGGCTCTGTAAGGATTTATTAGTCTAATTTTCTACATGTGCAGATAGGTTAGCATTTATATTTACCACTATCAAGTAACTTTAGTAAAGTAGATATACCAAATTAATTTGTTGATCATTTATTGTTAATAGTAAACTTTTTTGTAAGAAGATTGAAAGACTGTTTGATCCTGAATATTTGAATCCAGATTCTCGGAATAATGCAGCAACATTATACAGGTATAGAGATATGTTTTTCTTGATATGCTATACAGTGCAGCTAAATTCTTTAATTTTACTATATTTAGCATCTTCTTCTTGGATGTTTTTTGTGTCTTCCTTATGTTATAGATGCAGTTTGTGTAAGAAACTTTTAACAAAAGAAACAGAAAGAAGAATTCCTTGCATTCCTGGAAAAATCAATGTGGATCAACATGGAAATATTATCTACATTCACATAAGGTATAGTGAAAATAAAAATACAGCTTTTTTAATGTGAATTAATAGTGTATTTATAAAAGCAAAACTACTCTCATAAGGGATAGGATACCATCTTTTCTACATGTGATCCAACTTTGATTTAGAAAGATGCTACTTTCAAAACAGTTGTTGTAAAAGCTGCATTTTATTTACTGGATAAATTTCATGTTTTTAAACTTTAGTAAAAATTATTGTGCGTTAATCTTGGAAGACACTACCGTCAGTGCCATTAAAATGATTTTTTTTTCACTAATAGATTTTAGTTATTTATATAAGTGTTACATTGAATTTGACAAGAGAACCAGATATACTTTCAGGTGAATTTTGGTGAATGAGGAAAACTGTCTTTAAACTTGAATTTTCCATAATGTATTTATTCTTCATACTTTGTCAGTATTCCATTAATGCATAGTTTTTACTCCCTTTTAAGTGCAAAAGTAGTTCTCCTTTTCAGTTGGGGAGTGATAGGAGAATGTTGTATGTTGGTATAATGTCTTAGGAAAACAAAAGCTTTAAAACATATTCATATGTTCTCTGACAATATCCTACTGCTAGGAATTTATCCAAAGAGTTAATGTTGATTTATGAAAGCACTTAATAAGGGCATTTATTGTGTATATAAATAGGAAAAAAAACCACTCAAATGATTAAATGAACTAATATCCTTATAATAGTATATCTATATAAAACACATCTAGTCAGTTCTTAATGTGCAGCCTTTGAGAATGTAAAAGAATACATACTTACAGAGAAAGTTGTTAGTGGTAAATTAAGTAAGAACAAAAAACAGGCTATAAAACAAAACTAAAAATGTGTTCGCTAAAATGTTAACTATGGTGTTACCTTTGAGTGATAGTATTATGGATTCATCTTTGTTTTTTTTCTATATTAAAAATGTACAACACTTTTATTAAAAAAAAACCCTACAAATGTTAGATTTCATATTTTAAATGTTAAAATAGAAATCCAGAAAAACACATTTGACCCTAGCATTAATAGTACAGTCTCAAATTTAAAATGTTTCATTTTTCTCTGCATATAATAAGGGAATTTCATTTGTTATAGTAAGCACTTGGGAGTTTATACTTTTTTGTCTTGAGACTTGATTTTACCTGTGAAATTACTTCCATTTGACAGCAATAACTATTAATATTACTGTGTAAAAAAACTGACATTAAGTTCAGTGTTCATTATTGTTTTATTCAAAGTATTTTCCTGTAAGTCAGCTGTTGGTGGCATTTTTTAAGTAGTCTAATTAAAGCAGATGTGCCTGTGTAGTTTGTAATAACTTGATGATATTTTGTTATTTGTTGAACTAAGGATAAAAATAACAAAAGTTCAAGAAGATTAGAGACTTGCAGAAAAATGGGAACCTGTTATATATATGACCATGGCAAATGGAGTTTTAAGGCTTGTCTATTTTTTTAAGTTTATATCAGTTAACTTAAAAATGTATATTACTGAGACTTAATTTTATATTACTTAATTGCTCAATTACTAAAAAAATGTCTTTTGGAAATAATCTAAAGAACTAAGATATTAATGAAATGTTTAGAATCACCAACAAAATTAACAACCTATTTTATAATATGTAATATTAGAGTAAAGGTTCTGTTTAGGAACGGATGCCTAAGTCCCACATATTAGCCTGCTCAAACTATATTTAATTTATCTAGTATAGTAAAATAATTCAGCATCCATCTTTCACACCTTTTTCTGTTGTCCAAAGGGGAAAAAAGAATAAACAAACTCCCAAGTGAAATTTTCTCTATCATTCATTGTAGTCCATCCCATGGCCATCATTTGGGGAATGTTCTTGGAAGTAAGCCACAAAATTAAAAACATTTGCTGAAACAAATTGTTTATATTGCTTGCTTGTAAAATAATATAACAACTGAGGTTCTTTTCCTCAGAGATAAGACTTGGGATGTTCATGAGTATTTGAATAGTCTTTTTGAAGAATTAAAATCTTGGAGAGATGTATATTGGCGCTTGTGGGGAACAGTCAACTGGCTAACCTGTTCAAGATGTTACCAAGTGAGTTTTTTCTTTTTTAATATTCTGTTCTGTAAACATTGAGAGCAGGCTCTTTTGATATATGCTGCTTAATTAATTTGTTTTGGCGTGTTTGAACAATATCTGACATCTTTTTAAGAAATTAGTGACAAAAATGATGGTGCTATTAAACATTGCTTGCCTATGACTTCATTTCTCTGCCTGTTTCTTGCTTTTTTTAATTTTCATTGCTGAAACAATCAGTGACTTGGGTGAATTTATAGAAAACTAACAGATTTTAAGTGATCAAATACATTTTTTCAGTGGAAAAAAATACAGAATCCTTATTGTCTTTTATTATTTCCAGCCAAACTGCTTCTCTGTTAGCCCATAAATTTCTTTAGAAATTCAGAAACACCTTTGCAGATGGCGTGCTGTTGATATGTGCCCTTCTTGTTATAATAATTATGTTCCCAAAAAGGTTTTGTTCATTCTTTTGTAAATGAAGTCTATAATAAAAGCACTAGAGAGCTTGCTAGTTCCAGGTACCTATAATAAATCCTTTTATATAATAAGTAGATCTTTATTGGTCATAATCATTCCTAATTAGTCTTACATATAAATTTAGAGTGTTCTACATAAACTTTTTTATGAATCCCTTGGGCCTTCTTGCCCCCAGTAGTTTTCCTCTCTCACTGGGGTAATGATTTCCAGTAGAGGGAAGGAATACTGGAGAGCAGCTAATTTTAACCATCAGAGTGAGATTTTCCAAACTATGTAAGTTTCTACCTAGTGGACTCCGTCTGTCCCCACAGTTTTTTTTCCTAATTTTGTAAGGAACCGCCATACTCTTTGTTGGAAAGTGGAGGAAGGGAGGATTTATTTACTTGTTTATTTTTTAATGGAGATTCTGGGATTTGAACCCAGGACCTCATGCAGGTGAAGCATGCACTCTACCATTGAGCTATACCCTCATGTGCAGTGTAATTGTATGCCATAAAATTCATTCATTTTAAGTGTACAGTTTACTGACTTTTAATAAATTTACAGAATTGTACAACCACCACCATCCAACTTTAGTATATTTCCATCATCCCCCAAAGATCCCTCATATCCATTTGCTGCCACTCACCAACCTAGTCTCACCTTTAACCCCCGACAACTGCAAACCTACTTTGTGTCTCTAGAGACTTGCCGTTTCTGTACATTTTATGTAGGTAGAACCTACAGTATGTGCTCTTAAGTATTTTTGAGATGTATAATTTCATTGTGGGAATAATAGTTGATTTTATGCATTTCTTTTATTCAGGCTTTTCTCTGTACAGAATTTTCACATTGTCAGTATCACTCAGAAACAGTGATTTATCCTACTGCAGGAAGTTCACTGAGTACTGTTGGCACTGGAATTTATCCCTGCTGTAACCAAAAGGTTCTTCGGTTCGACCCCACTCAGCTTACAAAGGTAGATTTTGAATGTTGCCCTTTTGTAATTACAGCTCTAACACTTTGTATTTAAATCTTTTCCTCTTCTATTGTTTTTAAAATATAAATATACATTCATGTAGAAAAGACTTTAAACTATATGAATAAGTGTAATAAAAAGTAAAATCCTCCTTCATTCTACATCTCTTCTTAGAGGCAGCCACTGTTAACAATTTCCTTTCAGACCTTGTTTTATACATTTCAGACACAAATTATATGTAGTTTTTTATATTGGAAATAGGATCAGGCTATTCATATTATTCTGTAATTTTCCCTTTTTGCTCAACAGTATACCTAGGTGACCATTGTGTGTCATTTTATTAACTGCTGCATATTTCACAATTTATTTAACTAGTCTCCTACTGATGAACATCTCGGGTGTTCCAGGTTGATAGCATTACAGTGTTGCAGTGAACATCCTTGCACATTTAACTTGGTACAGTATGTGATTATTGCTCTAGGTTAGAGTCCTCAATTACTAACACTTTTGAAAATGTTATGTAATTAAATTTCACTGATGGATGAAAGGAACCTAAAACTCTTCATCATCATCAGTACAGCAAATATTTATGAAATGCCGACGTTGCGTCACAGACTGTGCAAAACAGAAAGCAGCATGCAAAATCGGGTAGTTTTTTCCTTCATGGAATTTACAGGTGAGGCAATAATATCAAAAGGGGGAAAACATGCAAAGGAATGTTTGAAGAAGTATGTCAGACCATAAATTTCTGTATTAGGCTGGTCTGACCTGGGCCTTGAAGTCAAGGGAAGCCTCCCTCCATTAAGGAGTTGGCATTTGGTGAAGATCCAAAGGGTGGGTAGGAGTATGCGAGGAGAAGAGGGAGGGAAAGAGCCCTCTCGTCAGAACAGTAAGGCCAAAAGGAACACGGTGAGTAAGCAAAACTGAAACTGCCTGTTACAGAAAACATGCATAGCTCAAGACAGGGATAGAGAGGGCAGTAAGATGTCAGGCCACAAAGGGGCAGGACTTCATAGGCCACGTTTAAGTATTTTCTTTATTTCAGATTTTGAAATATCAGTTGCTTAGGCTTATGGAATAGTGAGTGGAGTCAGGGATGAGAGAAGCTATCAGAATAGTCTTAGAAAGATGATGCTGACCTGGACTGGGGTTATGGAAATGTAAAGAAATGGATGAATTAAGTATTTAGGAGGTGAAACTGAATTGACTTGATGGGTTGTTTCACAGAGGGAATAGGAGGAGTCGAGGATGACTCAGTTTCTTCCTTGTACTACTGGGTAGATGGTGCTGCTATTCACTGAAAAGGAAACAACAGAAGGGATCAGGTCTGGACAGGATCTCATGAATTCTGTTTTGGACATTTTGAGTTTGAAGTGCTTTATGAGGTAATCAGGCAAGGAGTGATAGATATGTGGGTTTTCGTGCTCAGAGAGTGTCTTGGCTGGAGGTACTAATTTGTAAGCCTTCTTGCAAATAAGTGATAATTGAAGCCAGCACGTATGGATGAGCATAAGGGCAGAGGGCCTACAATGGAGCCTACAGAAACTCCAGCATTTATTGGCTGACTAGAGAAGCATGAGCCTGCAAAGGAGAATGATCAGGAGCAGAAAGAGTAATAGGAGGGAAATCAAGAATAGTGTCATGAAAGTCAAGGGAGCAGTATTTAAAGAGAGAGTGGTCCACAATGCCAAATGTTGCCAAGAGATCAAATAAAATAATGAAAGAAATGAGCAGTTTTCCAGTGAAAACATACAAATGGCCAAAAAGCACATGAAAAAAATGCCCAATATTGCTAATTATCAGAGGAATACAAACCAAAACTACAGTGAGGTATCACCTCACACCAGTTAGAATGGCAATCATTAAAAAGTCCACAAATGATAAATTCTGGAAAGGGTATGGAGAAAAGGGAACCCTCCTACACTGCTGATGGGAATTGGTGCTGCCACTATGGATAATGGTATGGAGATTCCTCAAAAAACTAAAAATCAAGTTACTATATGATCCAGCAGTCCCATTCCTGGGCATATATCCAGAAAAGAAGAATTCTAATTTGAAAAGATACATGCACCCCAGTGTTCATAACAGCACTATGTACAATTGCCAAGACATGGAAACAACCTAAATATCCATCGACAGATCAATAGATAAAGAAGTTGTGGTATATTTATACAGTGGAATACTACTCAGCCATAAAAAGATAAACTAATGCCATTTGCAGCAACATGGATGGACCTGGAGAATGTCATTCTAAATGAAGTAAGCCAGAAAGAGAAAGAAAAATACGTATGATATCACTTATATGTGGACTCTTAAAAAAAAAAACAGACACAAATGAACTTATTTACAAACAGAAACAGACTCATAGGCATAGAAAACAAACTTACAGTTACCAGCAGGGAAAGGGGATAGGAAGGGATAAATTGGGAATTTGAGATTTGCAGATACTAACTACTATATATAAAATAGATAAACAACAGTTTTTTTCTGTATAGTGCAAGGGACTATATTCAATATCTTGTAGTAACCTATAATGAAAAAGAATATGAAAATGAATGTATATATGTTTATGTACGACTGAAGCATTATGCTGTACACCAGAAATTGACACAACATTGTAAACTGACTATACTTCAGTAAAAAAGAGTGAAAAGGCAACTTACAGAATGGAAGAAAATATTTTAAAATCATATCTGATAAGGGTCTAGTAGCTGGAATATACAAAGAACTCTTACAACTCAAGAACAAAAAGACAATAAAGTAATGTGAAAGAACTCTATATAGAAAACATAGAACATTACTGAGAAAAAATAAAGTTAAAAAAATGGATTGTTGTACCATGTTCATGAATTCAAAGATTCAGTATTGTAGAGATGTAAATATTCCCCAAACTGACCTATATTGATCCATGCATTCTCAATAAAAAGCCTAATTCTACAATGTTTATGGAAATATAAAGAGCCAAGAATAAATAAGATGCTCTCAAAAGAACACAAAAGTAGAAGTACTTGCTCTGCTCAATATCAAAATTTATTGTCTTTGGTAATTAAGACAAGGTGATACTAATGAAAATTTTTTTAAATATAATTTTATTCTGTCAATTCTCTTTCTGATTTTGTAAGGAACAGCCATACTCTTTTCTTTGGGGGAGGGGGTGAGAAGGTATTTATTTATTTACTCATTTATTTAGTTTTTTTAATGGAGGTTCTGTGATTTGAACCCAGGACCTCGTGCATGCTAAGCATGCACTCTACCACTGAGCTATACCCTCCCCCAACCCCTGATGAAGATTAAACAGATAGACCAACAGAAGTGAGTGAAGTACAGTTGACCCTTGAACAACACTGGTTTGTACTGTGTGGGTCCACTTATAAATGAATTTTTTTAAATAAATACATACAGTACTACATGATCTGCAGTTGGTTGAATCTGCAGATATAGACTTCTAACTCTGGGTCTTGAGTGTCCTTGGATTTTGGTATACATGGAGACTTCTGGAACCAATTCCCCATGGATACGAGGGATGACTATACTTAAAGCCACTTGAATACTTGACTATGACAGAGTGACATTACAGACCAGTGGGCAAAGGATAAACTTTGTAGTAAGAGGTACTGAGGATATTGGGATATCAAAATGAGGGAAAAAACAGAATTGGACTCTGGCCCAAAATCTTTGCCCAAAAAAAGCCTATATGTGAGACAAAAATTAATAAAGCTATTAAAAGATAATACCATAGAGGAAGAAATTTAAATTCAAGTATATTAACTACATTAAATAAACTGAGACTGAGAGACAAACTTGCAGGTGGGGCCAGATATTAGCAACACATATCTATAAAAGGTTCATATTTAGATTTTTTTAAACTCATGTATATCAGTAAGAAAAATAGGAATTTCACACAAGAAAGTTTCTTGTCCAGTAAACATGAAAAGGAGCTAAATCTCATTTGTAATTGGGGAAATGGCAAATTAAAACCAGAGTGAGCATGTACTCACCAGAAACACTAAAATTAAAATGTCTCACCAAGTGTTAGAGAGAATATAGAGTAATAAGAACTGTCATACACTGCTGATAGTAATATAATGTGGTACCCATGAGCACTTGTGCTTCGGGTAACATGTAAAAGAATATTCATAATAGTGTTACTTGTAGTAGCTCCAAACTGGAAACAACCCATCCATCAACTGTGAAATTGATAAGCAAATTGTGACTGTTCATACAGTGGAATACTATACATTAAAGCAAATGTTAGTTACATGCAGTAACATGGTTGAATTGTAAAAACATAGTATTGAAACTAAACTAGTGTTTAGGGATGCATCCTTGAGTGGTAAACAGATAAAAGCAAGAGAGTGAGTACCATAAATGTTGAGATAGAGACTGTCCTGGAGAAGGGAGGCCGTTATGATTGGGAATGGGCCTGTGCGGACTCCTGGAGTGCTGGCTATATTCTATTTTTTAATGCGGATGGTGTTACATGAATATTCTTGGGTATTTGTTAAGGTGTACATTTATGTTTCATGCTCTTTTCTGTATGAGTATTGTTTTTTCTTGAGAAAAAGCTGTAAAATCATTGAGAGGATGGTATGACTGGGCAAAGAACAGAAACATACAGTCATCTTTAAAGGAATGTTTCTCTATAATGAACCAACCTCTCAGATTTAGTCTCTTGCACAACAGGGTTGTAAAGTGAGGGACCACATGGTTGCTCTTCGTGATCAAGGTGAGGGTGAAGATTTGCTGTCCTGTCCAACTGCTAGAATCCTGGACGATCTGCACAAACACAAAGATGTCATTCTTGTGCCTTTTGCTAAAGACACAGTTAGGTGAGATGGGGGAAACACTGTACTGCAGCTTTATTCAGTGGTTCCCATCCTTGAATCCTGTATCCCCTAGTGCTTCCCTAGATCAGTAATGGCAGTCCTCAAGTAGTTTACATTATTCCAGAAAGCTTAACTGAAATTATATGTTACTTTACAATAAGGGCAAGAAGCTGTTTATTTGATAGGAAGAATACCTCAAAAAACTGGAGGTCCGAGGGGAAGAAAAACTAATAAAAGGAGTTTCTGATGATTGAAAAGATGGGCCCTGCAGTCCAATTTTTGAATTTTTTTGTTTTTCCAAGTTACTTAAGCTCATCTTATCTTGATTGATGGAACTAGAAAAAAAATGATGATTGAGGTTATCTTTGCATAAACTAGAATTCCTTGGATTCAGTAATTTCTGAAGTCACTTCCATCATTTTGCAGTTGCAGCAGGCTGTCAGGTTAGGGGTTGGAGGACTCTCTAGTGAAGGCTGTTCTCAAAGCAGAAACTGTCATAGCAGCCTATTTCACCACCTGACAGGTATGATGCTGGGCGTGTAGTCATGCTTCCCCCATATGGAGTGACTTCTGCTAGGGGAATCACTAGATGCATTAAGAAATGTAAATATTCAAGAGGTATACCTTATACTCGAGAACTGTATTTCTAAGGAGCAATTTATAAAACATTTGCAATTAAGAAAAGATTATTTGCATTTAAATTCTTAAATTGAACACTTCTCTATAAAATGTCTGTTTCTTTCAAGTGATTCTGGGGTTGGTCTCTGTGATGAAAAGGGTCTAGACTGTGATGTTTTACTGGAACCAAATACACCATGGGGCCCCAAGAGTGGGGAGCTCAATGCTGTGAGTAGTTTGTTTCATTTATTCTTTACTTATAAAAACAATTGATGACATTTAATCTTTGACAGAAACCTGATTGGTTTAAATTGAAATAGAAAATTTCAGTTAGTCTGCATTTACTGATTATCGTAACAAGATATTAAGCTGAGTTAACAGGACTGTAAGGGTGATAGGATACATTCCTTGCCCTCAAAGAATTAATAATTAATCAACTTATATTTTGGGAAAAAATATAACACAGTCTTCAGGGTTTATTATGGACAAATAATGATATGAGGAATAAAGATGTTTGAATTGGATATTTTATCCTTTCCTAGTCTTATAAACTTTTTTTGGTATGAAATTTTTTTTTGAATTGTTACCAGTAATACATTTCATTTTTCCAAGGTTTCAAAACAGGTATTTTTAAGGTGACCAGAAAGCTTTGATTCCTTTGATTCCTGCTACTAATACACAAGAAATCTCTTTGCGTATAAACTTCCCATGTTTGTGTTGGTTAAAGTAGCATGTACTTGAGAAAATGAAATATTCCATGTAAAATGCATTATGAAGTCCAGATGGGTATATGTGTTTAATTATTAACATTTATTTATAAACTATATATAAAATAGCAAATTAGATTTCTTAAATATCCATATAGAATCTGGTTCCTTAATTTATAATGAATATAAACATTAAAAAGTGATTGAAATAATTCAAAATCTAACTAAAATTATATTACTTCTACATGTGATTTCTTGTCCTTTGGAAATTATAATAGGAAATGTTGGATTTTTTTCTTTTTTGTAAACATATACATTTTCCTCAAGGCAGAAGATGTAAAAGATTATAATATATCACTTTCAGATGAGTTTAAAATTATTTTTCAACCTGGAAGGGAACTATACTTGAAACTTTTTCCACCTCTTTTACAATATTCACTTGAAGATAGGGAGCTGTAATCTTGGAAGATGCAGATATATTAATGTCCTGCTTTGTCTTTTTTATAGTTCTTGTCACTGAAAAACTGGACTCTGCAACTGGTAAGTGAGCAACTATATTCTGCTTTTATGAATCTCTTTCTTTCTAAATCAAAGTTTAGTTTAATAGAATCTTATCAGTGCCTTATTTTATACATTTTAGTTAAACGTATGCCATCCTTTTCAGCTTCCATAATTTTGTACTTACTAAAAATGTCATTGTTTAAAACAGACACATATTCCATTATCTAGCTAAATAATCCACAAGTCTTCTTAAATGACTTTTTATTTATTTTTTTAACATTTTTTTATTGATTTATAATCATTTTACAAAGTTAATGACTTTTTAAAAGTCACTTTTAAGTCACATTAAAGACATTGAACAAAGCAACAGATCAATTAAGTTTCAGTGATTTTGTTGATTTGTTGATTTTTAACCTATTTGCCATTACTGTGCCATCTGCCACCAGTATTCACAAGATTGGAATAAGAATTATGAGATTATGTTAATACTGGCAATTATTATATTTTAATTTAATCTTAATATCAAGGAATGTACTTTCAGTTGAGTGATAGAGGTGCAGTTCAACAAATACTAAGTACTTATCACTCTGCTATAATGTATGAAGGAAATAAATTTTTAAAATTTTTAATGTAATGTGATCCTGTCCTAAATATAAAAATTCTTATATCCATTTCCTGAGTGTTATGCTAGACAGTGGTCATTTTATCAGTTCTTGTTTGGCTCATTAATCCAAAATAAATTGAGACGAATGCATTTGAGAGAATTCATTGGTGATGTGATAATATAAAATTTTAATAGGATGTGTTTTTGTTTTTTTTTAATTCAGAAACAACAGTCATTATTTTCAGAAGAAGAAGAATATACCACCGGATCTGAGGTCACTGAAGATGAAGTTGGAGATGAAGAAGAAGTATCCAAGAAACAAAGTATGGATTTCTAAGTTAAAATCAAGTCTCGCTTTTATGAAGGGATTGTATTCTGAAGGCTTTAATACAAGACATGAGGAATTGGGTTTATAAGTCTACATGGTAGGTTACAACATGGAAAAAATAAAGGAGGCTTCATCAAGATTCCCTAACCTTGACACTAACACAGAATACTCAAACTATGTTTAAAAGTTCAGTGTACTAAGAAAGAATCCTCCAAGTTTTCATTTCAGGTGTAAACTCATGGATTTCTCAAAATATCTGACTATCACAGTGTACCTGAGATGATTTGAAATGACACTCAAATGAAGTATTAAATAATAGTCATCAAAGTATGATTTTTAAAAAATTAAAAACGTGATTTTTATCCAATTACAGAATGAACTTGTGTCAAATTTTTTTTAGCCCATTTGTAAGAGAAATAGCAGGGAAAGTGGTTCAAAGAGCATTTGAAGACTCAAGTATTTGTAGGCATTTGAAAAAAGAGTGTTAAAAAAAGATGGCAGGTTAGATAGAAAACTGATTAATGTCCTACAAAGGCAATAAACCCATAATATTTGGGGTTATCTTTTCTGTTAGATGGAAATCATTTGCAATTCTATTAGACACAAAAATTTGCAAGTTAGCATGAAACTTCATAGTATCTAGGCTTTCAACCAATGGTAGAGAGGAAAGTCAAACACGAGGACGTTCTTAGAGGATTAAGTGATTCTTGGGTAGGCTTGTTACACAGTCCTCCAGTATAACACTTAAAGGAGATACAATCTTCCCTTTCCCTTATTTCCAAGTTTTATATAATTCTTCTTGACATGCTGCATACCTTAATGAAAAAACTACTCCTTTATCAATTACTTTTCAGTATTAGTTAGTCAAGGAGAAAATGCTACTATATTGTGGGGGTTTTTTTCCACAGTTGATTTAGGTATAGTTTACAATGTAATAAAATTCACTATTTTTAGCAGGGGAGGGTATAGTTCAGTGGTAGTGTGCATGCCTGGCATGCACAAGGTCCTGGGTTTAATCTCCAGTACCTCCATTAAAAAAAATATTCACCCATTTTTAAGTGTATGCTTTGAAGAGTCTTGGCACAGTTGTATAAACACCACCAAAATCAAGACCTAGAACATCACTCCAAACAGTTACTCCTACTCTGTTGCCTTTCCCCACTCCTAGTCCCAGGCAACCACTAATCTGCTTTTTGTCTTGTGGTTTACCTTTTCTGAGCTCTCCTATAAATGGAATCATGAGTAATCGTTTGTGTCTGGTTTCTTTCACTTAGTATGATGTTTTTGAGATTTATTCATATTGTTGTGTATATCAGTAGTTGTTCCTTTTTATTGCAGAGTAGTATTTCATTATCTAAATATACCATAATTTGTTTATCCATTCACCATTTCATGGACATTTGGGTTGTTTCCAGTTCTTGGCTGTTAGGAATAACGCTGCTGTGAATATTTGCATACAAGTCTGTGTGGACATACGTTTTCATTTTTCTTGGGTAGATACCTAGGAGTGGAATTGCTGGGTCATATGGTAAGTGTATGTTTCACTTTATAAGAAACTGCCAAACTGTTTTGCAAAGTGACTGTACCATCTTTCATTCCATCAGCAATATATGAGAGTTCAGGTTGCTACACATTTGTACCAGTACTTGGCATTATTGTTTTTTTTTTTTCCTTAACATTAGCCATTCTAGTGGGTGTATAGTTCTAGGTATCTTTTTTATGTTCTTATTGGCCATTTGTATATCTTTTGTTAAATGTCTATTTAAATATTTTGCCTATTCTTTAATTGGATTATTTGCCTTATTGAATTGTAAAAGTTCTTTATATATTTTTGAATGCAGTATGTTTTTCAAATATTTCCCCTAGTCTGTGACTTGCCATTTCAAATTTTCTCTTGAGACCATCTGGTACATTTTTTTCATTTTAATTATTGTGCTTTTTAGCTCTAGGATTTCTCCTGGTTCTTCTTTTATACTTTACATTTCTTTGTTGAGATTCTCTATGTGCTTACTCAGTACTACCATTTTTCCTTTGAGTATAATAGTTGCTTTGAAGTTATTGTCTCCTAAGTCCAGTATGCTGGTCCTCTCAGAATCCGTTTTTGTTGACTGTTTCTTTTATGAATGGGTCGTACTTTTCACTTACTTTATCTCATAACTTTTGAGTGAAAATTGGACATTGTAGATTATCTATGTGCAACTCTCATGTCTGTTTTGTTCTTCTGAGAATTGTTGGAATTTTTGTCCTAGTAGGCAGTTAACTTTCCTCACCCAAATTATAAATATCTGTCTCCTCCCTGGTTTGCAGTGCATAATGTCTCTGTGCAGGTTTTTTGGCTGCCAACTGCTGCTGCTTTAGCCTGCTCCCCCAGAGGCCACATCAACCTGTGTACTTTAGTGGTCAGCCAAGGATTTGGACAAAATTTATATTCAGATTTGGGGGCTCAGCTGCTTCATAGTTCCCTTGCTTTTTGAGTTCCCCTTAGATTCCTAGTTGTTTTTCCAGTCCCGAGTCTGACCTCTGACACAGGCCAGTAAGATTTCTGCTCTCAGAAGCTCAAGCTAAAGGCAGTTTGGGGAAATTATCTGGTCAAAGGCACAAGAAACTCCACTTCTCAGAAAGAGCTGTTCCATCTTGCAAGGATCAACACCCCACCCTAGTTTCTGGTTGCCTTTTTTGCTGGGCTTCTTGGGATATCCCATATACTTGCATAGTTTAACACTCACCTAAGAATTTGGACAGAGTTTATACTCACATTTTAGGTCTCAGGTCTTATGTGACTTTCCTTTTTTTAATTTATTTTTGTTTTGCTTAGATGATCTTTTTATTTCTTGTTTTATTTATATTTTGGGGGGAGGAGGTAATTAGGTCTGTTTATTTTTAATGAGGGTACTGGGGGATTGAACCCAGGACGCTAAGCACACATTCTACCATGGAGCCATCCCTTTCACCCTGACTTTTCTTAATTCCAAATCTTCCCCTTTAAATTTTCAGCTTCTCAGTTGCTTTGAACTCTGTCATCATCTTCATGGAACTCAAGGATATAATTTTCTTCCCTGAGCTGGGGAGGTAGGGAAATGCCCTCAGACAAGAAAACCATAAATTTACAGTTCTTACCTCTTGCATCTCTCTTTCTGCTTTCCTTTGATTATTTCCAGTACCTGCAGATGGTGGTTTGTAGTATTTTTGTTCTGTTTTTATCATTGTTGTTTTGGAAGGAATTGTCAACCTTTTTACACTGCCATTATCAGATGTCCCACCCTGTCATGTCTCTTAGCAATTTTTTATAACTTTTGGTTCTCTCTCACTTTAACAAAGAGACACACATCAGCGTGTCTGGACTTGTGAGCAGGCAAATAAATCTATCTAGATTATTGATACTGTTTTGTTTCTATTCTGTTATCTTCAAGGTTGTCTTCTATGTAATACATTTTACAGGTTTTTCATTTATGGTAGTGAAATGAAGTTTCCATTTAAAATGATAGAGTAAAAGTGTATAGGTGGTATACAAATCATTGATATTTGGGAAGTAGTGACCCAGTGTATTATTCTTACCTTCAAACATAGTTGTTAGAGAAACACTTCTTTTCCCTCCCTCTCTCCTTTCTCCACTAAACTATCAGCCAGAACAAATTCAGAATATTGGCTGCAGGAATGCCCTGGTTTAGAATACAGTTTGTCCCAAATCCGCTTCTTCCCAAGATCCTTTCTGTCCTACCTCCATTTTTCCCTTCATAGCCCCACCTCCTGCATGAGCAAAAGACATTTGAAAGTTTTTTTTGTGAGTTCTTCTCTCCTTCCCCTTCTCAAATTGTGTTTTTCTGGGCTATAGTTTTGTTCGGGTTTTTTTAATATATAAAAATTTGGAATTATGGGATGATTCCACTGTTGATTTAGATAGAAATAAGTTAGTATAGTTTCCCCAACATTTTTCTATATTTAATTTCACTGGGACTTTGAATTTATTGCCCTCATTTTCCCCTCATAGTTTTTCACTAAGTAGAAAGGAGAAAAGCAATTTAAATGAACCTCTGTAAAGCACTTTCAGTGTGATTTTCTCCACATATTTACTTTTTATCCAGAGATAATCTGTTAGTTTTTAAAAAATAATTTTTTTCCCAATGGTTTTATTGTTTGGATGTGACAAGTGCACTGGGGAAGTATGTGAGACTTATGCTTATGACATTGACCTGTTATCAGGGAAAAAGGAGAAGCCAAAGAAGTTCACTAAACAACCAAAAAAACAACTGTCTTCACCCTGTGGTCAGAAGAAAGAAAAGGCATTGGAGAAGGTACCTCTGAATTATGTATTACTATTCTAGGGTTCATATTGAGAAATAATCAAGTAGAACCAAAATCTGACAAAGAAGAATACCATGCTAGCAGTGTAAAAATGAGTGATGAACTTCTGTAAAGGCTGAGATTAAAGATCTCTGAGGTTTATTGACACATGAAAATGCAGAGCAGTATGTATAGTGGCATATTATGCTACCGTTTGTGTAGAATAGATGAAGGAATATATATATGTGAATTTTCTTGTATATCCATAAAATATCTGTGGAAAGCTACACCAGAAACTGATGATTGGATAGCTCTAAGGAAGGAAACTGGGGGACAGAGGCTTTTTACATACTGTATGTGCTGTTTATACTTTGAGTTTTAAACCAATATTACTTATTCAAAAAATTAGTAGGCAAAAAAAAATGTAGGCTTTGAATTTTTTAAATAAATTACTTTTTATGACCTTTTAAAGTTACTCTTATTTCCCCATGCCTTCAAAGGAGGGGGTAAAAAGCTAGGTAGGAATAAGAGGTTAATATAACTATATTTGGCTAAAAGAGAAACTGTGGATTCCAAAAATGTGTGAAAGGCTCAGGTTGAAACAAGTTACATTGGATGGGTTATATGTTCATCTCTGTGTTAAGGACTACAGACACAGGATGAGTGGATTCTAAATCATTGCATAAGAGGGGGCTTCCAGGTCAGACAAAGCTGGGTTCAAATTTGCGGTCTATTTCTCTTTGGACAAATTTCTTAACTTCTCTGAAGCTGTTTTATTATAGGGATAGCACTTATCTCACATGGTCATTGCAAGGCTTCAATGAAAGAATGTAATGCTCTTGGTACAGTATCTTGCACTCAGTAAATGTAAATTCTTTTTATTATTACCTTTAACACTAATTAGTAAATGTGTTCTAATTGGGCCTTAATGTTGTCTACTTTTTTTTTAGTCAACTTCTAGAGATGTGTCTCCTTTCATGTGAGTATTGCTCCTTAATCCAATCAGGTGTCCACTGTAAAAGCATTATGCTAATTTTTATTTAATTTTTTTCAATAGTGTGAGTATGCAGAAGAATAAGTGGGATGCCACAAGATCCTTGAGATTCAACCAAGATGCACAAAGAGAAGATGGTAAGTTTTATTATTTGGGTAATGTACAATTTAGGTAAAACAACAATGATAGGAGTCTTTTATTTTATGAAGTATGCTGAATAGCTTTAAAGATTCCAACTGGAATAAGGCCCAGAATTAGCACATTCTCTTAGGCATCAACCAGAGTTTCACTGCTAGACAGTCCCAGTAGATAATGTATTGTTTTATGCATCTGTGGTTTTGAGGTGTCTTGAACTGACTTTTGCCCTCTCCTTCCACTCTAAAGATGGCTAAGTATGTTCTAGACTGATTTACATAATCTTAAAAGCAGCAGCTATTTGTGTATAAGCCGTTTTACCACTTGCAACCTAAAATTCTTCAGGGATAAATATGTGTCTGTGAATAATATCCAATGATGTTTCCATAAACTCTTGATAATTGCAATCTTCTTTAAGAAATAAAAGTTATTAATCATCCTCATAAAAAGTAAGGTTTATTAATTTTTTACCTTCAGATCAACGGCGGATGTCTGAAATTACTGGGCACCTGATAAAGATGAGATTGGGTGATCTGGACCGAGTCAAGTCAAAAGAAGCAAAAGAAGTAAGAATTATGTCCTAGTGTACTGTGCTTGCTTAAAAATGCCTTCCTACTTTATTTTCATCATGAGCGTAAAGATGTTTTAAGAAGAATTTTAAAAGAGTAAATATTTGGATATATTTTTATATTCTGTACCAGTTAGTCAGATCATTCACATAAAAGTTTTTTTTTACCACTTCTTACTACCCATGGATGATAGGTCCTCTGTAACACACATAATAAGGTACATTGTCACTGAAAGTGTAGTGTTCCACCAAGAACAGATCAACTCTGTGCATTGCTGACTATCCAGAGGGTGACTTCCTGGAGGTTGCTGATTTTGATCAACTCTGCATGCAGTGCTGACATGTTATTTTTAAAATAAGGTGTTATCTTGCTGAAAATGATGACTAGAAATACCTGTACTCTTACTAGAATTACATGTTAGTCATAGCATTATATATCATTATTAGTACTGTATTATGTATTCATAATAACTCTTGCCCATAATTACTTATTTAAAAATTTACTTCCCTATAAAGGTTCTAAAAGAAAACAGAGGAAAATAATATTTATCACCATGCGTTAGTCAAACATTTCTTAGCTACAACACCAAAAGTGTAATCCATAAAAGAACAAATTGGCAAATTGGACTTCATCAAAATTTAAAACCTGTTTTTGTAAAGCATTTGTAAGAGATTGAAAAGACAAGACATAAACTGTGAGAAAATATATGTAAAATATTTATCTGGTAAAGGATTTGTATCCAGAATATGTAAAGAAATCTCAAAACTCAATAATAAAATAAACAATCCAATAAAAATGAATGGGCAAAAGATTAACCACACATTTCATGAAAGAGGGATGTAGGTAGCAAATAAGCACAGGAAAAGATGTAGCATCATTAGTCATTAGGGAAATACAAATTAAAACTTCAGTGAGGTACCACTGCACACCAAGTAGAATCTCTAAAATTTTTTTAAAAACATTCTGGGAAGAATAAAGGGCAACTGGAACTCCCATATGTAGCTAGTAAGGATGCAAAAAGGAATGGCCACTTTGGAAAAGAGTTTTATCTGTTTCTAATAACACTGACTATGTTTACTCACCATACAGATGAATTCACACTTTTTTTTAGTGGCTTTATTTAGAATTGCCAAAAACTAGAAACAACCCAAATATCCTTTACCTGGTAAATGAGTAAAACTATGGTACATATGAAAAAGAACAAGCTACTGATACATGCCTCAACATAGCTGAATCTCCTATATATATGATGCTAAGTGAAAGAAGCCAGATTCAAAAGGCTACAGACTATATGATTCTATTTATATAATGTTCTGGAAAATGCAAAACTATAGGGGCATAAAACAGATCAGTGGTTGTCAGGAACTGGTAGTGTCAAATTGATTGACTTAAAAGAGGCACAAGGGGACTGACAAGGGCTTAATTTCCAGAATATATAAACAGCTCATATAAGTCAATAACAAAAAAACAAACAACCCAAACTAAAAATGGGCAGAAGACCTACACAGACATTTCTCCAAAGAAGACATACAGATAGCCAATAGGCATATGAAAAAATACTCAATATCACTAATTATCAGAGAAATGCAAATCAAAACTACAATAAGGTATCTCACATTGGTTAGAATGGCCATCATTAAAAAGTCCACAAACGATAAATGCTGGAGAGGGTATGGAGAAAAAGGAACCTTCCTACACTGTTGGTGGGGATGTAATTTGGTGCAGCCATTATGGATAACAGTATGGAGATTCCTTAAAAAACCAAAAATAGAATTACCATATGATCCAGCAATCTCACTCCTGGACATATATCCGGAGAACATTCTAATTCAAAAAGATAGAGGCACCCCAACGTTCATGGCAGCACTATTTAATAACCAAGACGTTGAAGCAACCTAAATGTCCATCTACA